AGGTCTTGTAGTGGGCCCACGACCTTCAGGCTCAAAGGCCAACGCTCTACCAACTGAGCTACTGTCGCCTAATCACTTACTTTACATTACTTAATTACTTACATTTACATACTTTTTAGAATTAATTTTATTTTTTCTATTTTTGCTGCAACTGGACACCTGAATTTCTCCTACGAGGATCAATAAAGTATCTATCTATCTACAGTATTTAGATTTAATTCAGTTTAGATGCAAAACCAGTTAAGTGCCAAAATAAAAAAAACATGGCATAAAAATGTGCCCTTGGCCGAGAAGTTTTGTTGTTGTTGTATTTTTAAAGCCATATAACTAAAGTTTCACACTTTCTTGAGCTACAGTAAATCTTTCAAATTTACGGCTGATAACAAAACAGGTTGAATATAGTAAGAATGAATACAGAGATGAATACAACTTTTTGACAAATTCTTAAAAAGAAGACATCTGTGTTTGCAAATTAACTAATTTTTTTCCCAGACATTGTTAGTAGAAGGTCATTTGTACCACAGTCCTTTCATACACACATAATACAAGCATGGGCAGTTATAGTACATTATTAGTTATGAAACAGCGAGTCCATAGGAACCCAGTGCTGCCTTTGTATGAGCAAACTTGGGTCGGAGCAGATTCTTTGTTATTTCTGAATAATACATGCATGGTATTCCTCTAAATAAACAGTATATTCTATGCATTTTCTGCAGTTGTCGTGCTTGCATTGTGCGGCGGTAACTAAGCGTTGCAAAACACTTAACGCAGTCGGTGGTGAGGTTATTTCTCTTACATGGCTTTTGGTGTTTGGAAAAGTATTCATTGAGCTGCTGGTTCAAATTGATAACCAAAGGTGGGCCATTCAAATAGGCTTGATAATGACTGCCCTGAAGCTACAGGCACGTAACAAAAAGCAGGAGTCAACAGAATAGTAGCTTTATTATTAGCATTCCCATTTCAGAAGTGTGCAAATCTAGTTTCTAAAGAAGGTTTAAATGAAGCGAACGGCACAAAGAGTTATTTACTGGATTACCTTGAGCTGTTCAGAATGTGACTTGGACGGCTTTTAATTACGGTTTACGCAGAGTTGAATATATAAAATGTAGAGTATATAGCCATGAAAATGCCTTGAATGTTGGAATGGACTTGATTCAATTCAATTTATTTTTTGTATAGTCCTAAATCACAATGGTAGAATCAAACAGTGGAAGACATCAGAGAATTAAGAAGTTCAACCCCAGGAAATTCAATGTTAAAATACGTATACAGGCTTTGGTCCGTAGGGGGCAGGTGACCAATGTCCATAAATGTTGATAAAGTCCATACATGTTGTTGAATGTCGAGTTTCCTGGATCATCACCGCTGTCCTTCAACCTTATAGATCAGAAAGGAAAAACTCTAAAAGGCCAGTGGGGGACAATGAGGAACCTCCGGAAGGCCACTCTCACCCACGGATGGATGGGCTATAGATCCAGGACTCAGGCTGCAGAACAAGGGCGGTGCTGGACTGAGGCAGCACCCAGGCGGGAAGGGGTTGAAGCCCACGAGTCCAGGTTCAGGGGTTCCATCATCACGTATGAACTAGACAATGGGACAGAGGGTGAATAGCAATGAACAGACTACAGCTGAGACAGTTTGTGAAACACAGAGAGTGAGTGAGTTAAGAAGCCAAAACTTAGCTACTCTTACTTAAAAATGAAAGGGACAGTGTGTAATATGCACTGTGAGTTGTCCAATGCAGTCATTACATTTACAATCCAACTTTTATTGCCATAATCTTTCAGCCTGTGACCTATAAGCACTGATACTGATGAAAACCACCGGCTAGAGTTAGCTGAATGGTACAAACTCTGTGTGTAATTTAAGACTACATATTTCTGTATCTGCTTTCAATTTCATGTGTGTGATTGTTTTGTTGTGTTAGATGTGTTCATAGAAAAAAAGTAGCAGCTAAAATCCAAAAGAGCCTCATTTTTCTCACTGATTGGATCATCTCCTTGGAAAATTGTAAATACAAATATAATGCAAATCACGTCAATTGTATTCTTTAATTAACAATAACCCAACTTTAAACCAAATCAGAAAAGGTCTAATAATTTGGACACCACAACCTATCTGGAGACATAGTTGAAATTAAAATGTATATATTACATATGGTACCTTTTTAAGTATTACAGTCAAAGAAAAGTACAAAGTACTTTTCTTAAAACATAAAAAAAATACTAAATTGAAGTAGATGTTTACCTAACACTGGTTTGGTTCAGAGCTCCTATCAGAATAGGTGTGTTTTACATTCAAACAGGCTGTTTTTTTGAGAAGTCTTTTTAAAAATATAAAGAGATTACCCAAACAAACATACTCGGTCAGTGTAATGGTAAGGTGATTTATTTTGGTGGTTATCAAAAATAAATTAGGGTGTATTTTTTTTATCCAAAAGAGCTGCAAAAATTGACAACATTTGTTATGCGTCGCTAAATTGACCACTTTCTACTGATTCAACTCTGAGAACTTTTCACAGCAGCAGTACCATTCCCCCTGGAGAGACTTACTGACAGCCAGCAGCCCACACAGTGCAAAAACCCACAACATCAACAGATTAAAAACTGTCCAAACAAGTCCAATGCTACTGCCTCTTAATCCTAGCAACACATTGAGATGAAAAACGGTGATAACAGCACTGAAACAAATAAAAGATTAATCTAATAAGTGTGCAGGCTCTGGCCGGGTCTGCTGTATAAACAAGCTGAGGTAATGTCAGTGTGTGCGTGTGTGCATGTGTGTGTGTGTGTGTCATGGCCTAACAGGCAGAGAGCTCGTGCACCACCAAAGCTGCCCTAGCCATCTGGCCCTGGCAAAATGAACACACACTTTCTCACCACCCTCTGCCTGCCTCGCTCGCCCATCCGTTAGCCGAGAGGGAGGGAGGTGGGGGGGATTTGAGGAGCAGCCACCCCGAGAGATTACCGTTGCATATTCTCCATGTTATTGTCCGGGGGATGTTTTGCTTTCTAAAAAAAAACTGGTTGAATGCCAGCACGGCCGTGGATCTGGGGCAATGAGGAGTTCGACCGCCTCTCTGGGTAATTTGGGTTTCTTATAAAACATGATATAGTGACATATATGTTGTTTTGTTTGGTCTTTCAGAAGCATTAAAGCTAGGGGTGTTCAAACCTTTTAGCAAGCCTTGACCTGGGGCCGACAACCTGGATTTAAAAACTGTATTCAAGCTGGATTGACTGAATTGTGGAATTTAAAGAATCCAGCTGGGACCATAATAACTGACTAGACAAGAGTTTTGTCAACAACAAATCTATAACAACACCTTTTTCACAAAAGGCCCGAAATCTTCTTTTTCTTCCTTTTTTTGTCATTAATGATTGCAGAATTATAATGGGACCTTTCTTAGTTCTGCGGCCACATGTTACACATGTTACCAGTGAGATTAGCTCGATGTGGTGAGTTCTGGCGACCCGAATCACGGACTTTCTGATTGGTTAAACGGTGGAGGGGGGGAAATTCAAATGAAAACAATAACTAATTTTGAATTCAAATATCTCAGCTGAACTACTTTCATCAATTAAAGAAGTATTCGAAAAGACCTTTTGATATATTAGAGCCAGTTAATGATAACTTGACATGAAAATCTTACATATTGCTACTTTAAAATGGGTTACGCTACGTCCTTATTGATTCACACGAAAGCTGCATTTTATCTGGAATGTTGTGACTCGATTCCAGAGGGTCTGAGATTTACAACAAGATATAGCGTGACAGTATTGGTGGAGCTGAAGTTGTTTGGATGACACTGTCAAAGTGCCTCAATGGCAACTTGGTGTTTGCAGCAGAGGGCCACATAAAATGGCACAGAGGGCCGCAATTGGCCTGAGTTTGGGCAGGCCTGATTTAAGCAGGAAAAAGAAAAACTGCAGTAGTGAATAAAGTGAGGGGAATAAAGCCAAGTACTCTTCAGACCCGGCGGTAGGTTTAAGTGAAGAAGAGAAAGAGCCGAGGAAACTCTGGATTTAGCAAAAAACAGTGGGTTTTAATCAAGCGTCAGTGTGGGGAAGCTGGCCCAAGTGTCAGAATGAGAAGCAGACTCACAATGTACACAGTGTGAACTCGATTTAGTTAATTCTAGACAAACAATTCAAACAAAACAACGTGTACAGCTCTCCCTTTTTATAGGAGGATCTTTGTTTACACCTGCGTGCATGTGCGCCCCTCGCTGGGTGGCACAGAGACAGAGCGGCCTATACTGAAGCATGGATGCGACGAGTACTTTTAAACGACTCAGTGGCGAATAGCACTGTATATAAGCACATTAACGCAAGAAGATCAGAGAAGATATAACAACGAGCTGAACATAAGTATATGAGACCGAACTGAACAAATTCAAAGCCCATATGAGACTTGGGATGACAAGAAGAAACATTGGTCAGACTCATCTCTGTCTTGGCCCCGATCTGCTGGGACTGGGACTCAGAGACATTCATTCTTACTTCATAGAAAACCTGGGACCCTTCACTCAAGAAGGGTCCATGGTGAAAATCCATTTATCGCGTTTTTCACCGCGGTAAAGTGGCCCGGCATTTCACCACAAGTGGGATCAAAAAAGCATAAAAGGGCAACCACTCTACGTTTTTTGCTGTTCTTTTCCGAAATAATTAGAAAAAAAACTTAAGCTGTCCCCAGTACAACCGACCACACAACAAGAATGGACCATTTGATTTAGTAAAACCTCTCTCCAAAAGTCAAAAAATAGCTAACTCTCTAGCATCCAGGTAGCTTTCTATGCTGTATTGCCACCCGGTCACATGACCAGCGCAAAAAAACTATAAACAACTACGTCACTCCAAGATCCTCCTTCATTGCCGCTGTTGCCCACTGTATTTACTTATATGAATATAAGTAAATCATCTTTTCTTATATAGAAAATTTCACAAACCAAGGTCACACAAGAGATGTTCACAATGTTTCGGAATACCAATATTTTACAATCACTCCACACGCAGTGCAGACAGAAGCCAGACACTGAAGCAAGACTCTGAAGCGAGACACTGAAGCGGGACACCGAAGCGAGACACCGAAGCGAGTCTCTGAAGCGAGACACCGAAGCGAGACTCTGAAGCGAGACACCGAAGCGAGACACCGAAGGGAGACTCTGAAGCGAGACACCGAAGCAAGACACCGAAGCGAGACTCCGAAGCGAGACACCGAAGCGAGACTCTGAAGCGAGACACTGAAGCGAGACACTGAAGCCAGACACTGAAGCGAGACACCGAAGCGAGACACCGAAGCGAGACACCGAACGAGACTCTGAAGCGAGACACCGAAGCGAGACACTGAAACGAGACTCTGATCAAGACACCGAAGCGAGACACCGAAGCGAGACACCAAAGCGAGACTCTGAAGCGAGACACCGAAGCGAGTCACTGAAACGAGACTCTGATCAAGACACTGAAACGAGACACTGAAGCGAGACACCGAAGCGAGACACCGAAGCGAGACACCAAAGCGAGACACCGAAGCGAGACACCAAACGAGACTCTGAAGCGAGACACCAAAGCGAGACTCTGAAGCGAGACACCGAAGCGAGACACCGAACGAGACTCTGAAGCGAGACACCAAAGCGAGACTCTGAAGCGAGACACCGAAGCGACACACCGAACGAGACTCTGAAGCGAGACACCGAAGCGAGACACCAAACGAGACTCTGAAGCGAGACAACGAAGCGAGACACCGAAGCGAGACTCTGAAGCGAGACACTGAAGCGGGACACCGAAGCGAGACACCGAAGCGAGACACCGAAGCGAGACTCTGAAGCGAGACACCGAAGCGAGACACTGAAACGAGACTCTGATCAAGACACTGAAACAAGACACTGAAGCGAGACACCGAAGCGAGACACCGAAGCGAGACAACAAAGCGAGACACCAAAGCGAGACACCGAACGAGACTCTGAAGCGAGACACCGAAGCGAGACTCTGAAGCGAGACACCGAACGAGACTCTGATGCGAGACACCGAAGCAAGACTCTGAAGCGAGACACCGAAGCGAGACACCGAACGAGACTCTGAAGCGAGACACCGAAGCGAGACACCGAACGAGACTCTGAAGCGAGACACCGAAGCGACACCGAAGCAAGACACCGAAGCGAGACTCTGATCAAGACACCGAAGCGAGACACCGAAGCGAGACTCTGAAGCGAGACACCGAAGCGAGACACTGAAACAAGACTCTGATCAAGACACTGAAATGAGACACTGAAGCGAGACACCGAAGCGAGTCACCGAAGCGAGACACCAAAGCGAGACACCGAAGCGAGACACACCGAACGAGACTCTGAAGCGAGACACCGAAGCGAGACTCTGAAGCGAGACACCGAAGCGAGACACCGAACGAGACTCTGAAGCGAGACACTGAAGCGAGACTCTGAAGCGAGACACCGAAGAGACACCGAACGAGACTCTGAAGCGAGACACCGAAGCGAGACACCGAAGCGAGACTCTGAAGCGAGACACCGAACACACCAAACCAAAGCCTCTGACTATCACCACTCATTCCCTCTCTCATTACATTCAGACCTATTGTACAAGTTCTAGGAAATGAAAATGCTTGTCCAGAGATGGATTTTGAACCCACTTTCTTGCTCTGACCTTACTGCTAAATGCAGGACCATCGTACCGCCCATGCAAATAAAAAGTGAGGCGCAGTGTTTTAGGGCAGATCCACACGCCACAATCATAGACTGTAAATATTAACGGACGTAGTGACACCTATCACCACAATTGAAATTCATGGGTCATCCCTTTTTCCTCCTGCTGTCTATTTTAAAATGGCTGCGAGTGGCCCCTTCCGCAAGAATATGTGACAAAATGCATTTGTTTGCCGGCACGAGCCCCATTTATTTAAAAAGTGCATTCAAAAGTAAACAGCGGCCGGTCACGAGTGAGATTGCAAGCATCTCAGCGCATGTGCTCTTGGACCTATTTGAGCCGAGACCCGCCCCCACTGGCCCCAATAATTCAATAATGAGAATTCAAATGATTGAAATATACTGTATAAAAAGGACCCACATATGTCCGAATACAATATATCTTTAAAAAAAAAACACAGACATCTTCTTTATGAGCTTTTCAATATTGTGCTCATATTGTGCAAAATTGACTTGAACGAGACACTGAAGCGAGACACCGAAGCGAGACACCGAAGCAAGACACCAAAGCGAGACACCAAAGCGAGACACCGAACGAGACTCTGAAGTGAGACACCGAAGCGAGACTCTGAAGCGAGACACCGAAGCGAGACACCGAACGAGACTCTGAAGCGAGACACCGAAGCGAGACTCTGAAGCGAGACACCGAAGCGAGACACCGAACGAGACTCTGAAGCGAGACACCGAAGCGAGACACCGAACGAGACTCTGAAGCGAGACACCGAAGCGAGACACTGAAACGAGACTCTGATCAAGACACCGAAGCGAGACACCGAAGCGAGACACCGAAGCGAGACTCTGAAGCGAGACACCGAAGCGAGACACTGAAACGAGACTCTGATCAAGACACTGAAACGAGACACTGAAGCGAGACACCGAAGCGAGACACCGAAGCGAGACACCAAAGCGAGACACCGAACGAGACTCTGAAGCGAGACACCGAAGCGAGACTCTGAAGCAAGACACCGAAGCGAGACACCGAACGAGACTCTGAAGCGAGACACCGAAGCGAGACACTGAAACGAGACTCTGATCAAGACACTGAAACGAGACACTGAAGCGAGACACCAAAGCGAGACACCGAAGCGAGATACCAAAGCGCGACACCGAAGCGAGACACCGAACGAGACTCTGAAGCGAGACACCGAAGCGAGACTCTGAAGCGAGACACCGAATGAGACTCTGAAGCGAGACACCGAAGCGAGACTCTGAAGCGAGACACCGAAGCGAGACACCGAAGCGAGACACTGAAACGAGACTCTGAAGCGAGACACCGAACACACCAAACCAAAGCCTCTGACTATCACCACTCATTCCCTCTCTCATTACATTCAGACCTATTGTACAAGTTCTAGGAAATGAAAATGCTTGTCCAGAGATGGAATTTGAACCCACTTTCTTGCTCTGACCTTACTGCTAAATGCAGGACCATCGTACCGCCCATGCAAATAAAAAGTGAGGCGCAGTGTTTTAGGGCAGATCCACACGCCACAATCATAGACTGTAAATATTAACGGACGTAGTGACACCTATCACCACAATTGAAATTCATGGGTCATCCCTTTTTCCTCCTGCTGTCTATTTTAAAATGGCTGCGAGTGGCCCCTTCCGCAAGAATATGTGACAAAATGCATTTGTTTGCCGGCACGAGCCCCATTTATTTAAAAAGTGCATTCAAAAGTAAACAGCGGCCGGTCACGAGTGAGCTTGCAAGCATCTCAGCGCATGTGCTCTTGGACCTATTTGAGCCGAGACCCGCCCCCACTGGCCCCAATAATTCAATAATGAGAATTCAAATGACTGAAATATACTGTATAAAAAGGACCCACATATGTCCGAATACAATATATCTTTAAAAAAAAAACACAGACATCTTCTTTATGAGCTTTTCAATATTGTGCTCATATTGTGCAAAATTGACTTGAGCTTTGGTTCAACAGAGCTGTCTCATTAAACCCAGCCAGCAGAGCTTGATCCAGGCTAATATCAGGAATGTTCACACCACCCATCTTTAAAAAACCCTCGGTCTCCAATCTATTGCTAAAACTTTGCTTTTGTCTCTCATTAGCCTTTCTGCAGTTAAATTGTGTTCATTACCACTGTTTACCCCAACCCTCGCATTGGACTTGTTATTCCCATCACCAGCCATATCGATGTTATCTTCTCTTTTGTTGATTTGTTTTAGAAAATAGGTTTACTGAGATGGTCTAAACCAAGAAAAGCATTCATGATTAAGGACCAAAATCCAGTGGATTGGACCAAAATCCAGTGGATCCAACAAAATCCAGTGGTCATTTTGGTCAGCACGGTGGCTGAGTGGATAGCACTCTCGCCTCTCAGCAAGAAGGTCCTGGGTTCGAATCCCGGCCGGACCAGGGCCTTTCTGAGTGGAGTTTGCATGTTCTCCCCGTGTCTGCGTAGGTTTCCTCCGGGTACTCCGGTTTCCCCTGCCACTAAAAATATGTACAATAGGTCTGGCATGCGCCTCCTGTTCGGCGACCCCGCTCCCATCTCTGTGTGGAGTGAGAGACAAATGCTCAAAAATAATAACAATTGTAAACCGCTTTGTGACTCTGGTCTGTGAAAGGCGGACTCTGGTCTATTTATTTATATAAATAAAGCTTACTTACTACTTAATCATGAAATCCAGAATTAAGCCTAACCCATGTAATATTTACTTGTAAATCAAAAACAGCTTTTTTTCACAAATCAAAAAATACAATCTGTTGCTAGTCCAATGAGGTTCATCTGGTCTTCTGATAGAGTCGATTCTTTAAGACCAGCGTGTTTTTTGACTGTTTCGAAAGCTGGCGCAGTCTCCCTCCAATTTTTCCACATGATGTGCAATCCGATTTCTTCAGAATAGAAACTCAGGAGTGTGAGAGTTAAAAAGCCCCCTTGTCCCAGTTTATAGTCCTGTAGGCAGGTTTTAGTGAGTCTAATGGCTCTTCGATCCAGCATCTGTGTTTGCTGACCTCACCCACTATACAGGCCTCATATACTGTACTGTACCGGACAAGGTACAAAACTACCACTCTGGTCTAGAGAGTCAAGTTCTAGAAACAGTCTGTTGCTTTTTATCATGATCTACCACTGTATTGGCACTATGTTGTAATGGCTTTAGCTGTGACGTAATGGCAAATCAAAGTAACATTTGTGGATATGGAAGTCAACACAATAGTTTCCAAAGATCAAGAGAGATGAGCGCTTCAGTAGTTTTTGTTTCCTATGTGTATTTTATATTTCCTTTGTTCATGCTGCTTTTCATTTTGCATTTTAGCTGTATTTTAATACATGTTTTTGAAATGCAATTTTTACTTTTTAAGGCAACATGAGTGTCAATAAAGGTGCCTAAGAAATAAAGTGTGTGTATCATTATTATAATAAAAAGAAAACAAGATACTAAATGTTATAAAATAATCACAATCACCTTGAAGAAGGTCCTACGTGGCCCGAAACACGTTGCTCGCCCCTGTTCATTAAAAGATTTTTAATCATTGAGTGCCTTGGATTTCCTCCTTTCACGATAGTTTTCAAGTGTAGCTGTTAGCATTGTAAATACATTGATCCAAGTTCTACTACACAGATGACTATTCCAGACACAAGCGCACACAATGTCTGCTCGGTATATTTTACAAAGACTGCTGTGCACTTTTGCTGCGTGTTTTTTAGAGTTGAGTTTTTTTGTAATATATTTGTCAGTTTTATTGTTTGTTTTTAATTGCCGTCTTCAGTGCACTTGAGTGTCTTGCGCAGCTGTTCCACTGTGGTGTTTAACTGCAAATGGTGAAATAAACCGACTCGACAAACGCGCAGGTGCAAAGAGTTGTGTGTTCAGTCACCAACCGGAGGGATCTGGTTCAGACTTTCAAAAACACTTTTTTCCAGTCTCGAGACACACTGCGCACACATTGCCGCTCAGAAGTACAGCACGAGGAGAATGGCATCTGGTGTGAAAATCCGCGCTGCTTTCCAATGAAGCAACTGTGCAGGACAATTAGGCTGAGGCTGTCCACAGAATTTTGGGGGGAATTTTTAATTGCCACCTGTCCCATCCCCATAAAGCTGGGGTACCAAACTTACTTTTGTTTGCATAATTAATACAGTCTTTTTGACAGAAATAAGGTGAAATGTTGAACGGACAAATCAGACCATCATAGGATGTTTATCTTATTAGAAAACATTAACATTGCCGGTACGGTGGCTGAGTGGATAGCACTCTCGCTTCTCAGCAAGAAGGTCCTGGGTTTCGAATCCCGGTCGGAACAGGGCCTTTCTCAGTGGAGTTTGCACGTTCTCCCCGTGTCTGTGTAGGTTTCCTCCGGGTGCTCCGCTTTCCCCGACCACTAAAAATATGCACAATAGGTATGAATGTATATGAGAGAGTGGATGTTTGGTGTTGATTGGGGGCTGATGTCCAGTGTGTTCGGCGACTCGCTTCCGTCATCACCGTGTGTGGAATGATTGAAACAATATCTGAACTCAGAACATTGTAAAGCGCTTTGTGTGACATTGGTCTGTAAAATGCGCTATATAAATAATCATTACTTACTTACTTACATAATTTGCATATTTAAAAGCCTTGTGAAAATATCAAACATTTATTTTTATTTTTAATGAGATGCAATATAAAAGTACAATAATAAAGTTTTAAATAAATTACAAATCATGAACATACATATCATATCGTGTATATACATTTTGACTTCAATAAATGAAACTATAATGTGTGTTTGTTCAAATGCAGTGTTAGACAAAAGGCCAAAACTTTTACTGAATCATATTGCATCAAAGATTGAATTGAAATTGAAATGTGTCTGGATCTTGATTGGCAGACTCTGAAAGACACCCAGCCCGACTTATAGTAACCGTCTATGTTTCACTTATCTAAAAAAATACAATGATCTAAAGATGTGACCTTGTGAGCGATAATGTCAAGCCCTTTTTGCCCTTTCCATCTTACACACCTGCCATAACTTTGAACTGGACTTGTATTGTTGCAGCTAACGTATAGGCAAGGCAAAGTAAGGCAAGTTTTTTTGTAAAGTGCTGAACAAAACAAGATAGAGACAGTCACACAAAGCATTAAAATAAATAAATATATACAGTAAAATCATAAATAATCACAGTACATTAGAAAGAGATAAATACAGAGGGGGTGTCAAACTGGTCCTCAAAGGACCCGTGTGGCTTCAGGTTTTCCTTCCAACCAAGCAGGAGGACACCAGAGTCCACCCATTTTCCTCCAGTGAGTCCAGTCTTGACCCGAAGACCTGAAGAAATTAGTGCAGTCTGGTGTGCTTCTGCTTAGTTGGAATGAAAATCTGCTGCCACGCCGGCCCTTTCTGGAACCGGTTTGACACCCCTGACCTAGAGCTTGTATACTGCTAACAATAATCTACCTCATATGTCCCACTTTGCTTGTTCTGTTGCGTCTGCTAACACACTTGACACCTGTAGAGCAGACTGGGGCTCGCTCACACTATAGGGCTGCACTTGGGACTGACTGATTGCAACTCCCAGTTCGACTACCTCTGCATACTGCACTTTCTAATCTATAATGAAGTACAAATTTAGCTCTAAGTGTATGAGTGTTGTTTCTATGATAATGACAATAAAGAATTTGAATCTTGATTATTCAGAGGTCCAAAATGCATGCATGTGAAAACTAGTAGGACCAAACTGTTTTGACAGTTTTATTTATTCAGGTTATAAAGTAAACCTTCTTCCCCCTCTCTTTCAAGCAGAATTAGGTAATTTTACATGCAGTATATACAGTACATTCACTTTATCTCCTTTATCTTTCTTTTTTTGCATTATCAATCAATCAAGTTTTATTTGTAGAACACCTTTCCTACACAAGACAACACAAAAAATATGAAAATTATTTTAAAGAATATGATTTAAAAGTATGATTCAAAACTATTGATAATGATAAAAATAATAATAATAATAATATTTATAATGTTTCTTGTAACCTTAATGTTTGTTTTTAATGCCCTGTGGGATTTTAATTCTAGTCCTTTGATTATTCTTTATTTTATTTTTTATTTTTTAATTATTTATTTATTTCAATTTTGGACATGACAATACATCACATTTTACAATTGCATTTCAAATAATTGTACTCTTGTCAAACAAATGGAAAAAAAATCTTATTTTTCTAACCCTTTCTTAAAACATGTACCAATTGAATAAAACAAATAATTTAGATAGACTTCAGCACTCCTCCTTCAAACTGTTTTATATTTTATATTTTATTTCCCTTATTTAAGAAAAATTCTCTACAAAAAAAACTTGATTGATTAATTCAATTAAAAGCGAGGTACCCCAGCTTTAATTGAATTGCGTGATTTCTCATTCTAAGCACATGCACGTGGGAAAATCAGGTTTGAACTTGGGAGTGGAGCCGTATGGACAGAAATTGGCCGGTAATAGCAAAAT